CTGCTGAACTGGCAAGAGCTCTGGAAACTACTGTATCGAGCAGCGTAGTTTCATCCTGTTTATTCTTCCCTTCTTTCTTCTCTCGCCTTTCTTATAAATCAACGCTTCGTTACAAGATGCAAACCAGCATTTACTCCAATCCTTCTCGCCCCACTTTTCGCGGAAAAAAATGCTTGGCTAGCCAAAAGTTGTCAAAATAAGAAACTTTCTCAACTTTTTGTTAAAAAAGAGACTGAAGGGTAGAATAATAAATAGACATTCTGAATAAAATCAAAAGATTGCAATTGAAAATTTTAATCGAATAGATTAAATAAAAAGAAATAAAAAGTGTATAAAGAAAGATTCTTTGCCGTGATGGAAATAATAATTTTATTTTTTTACGATTGTTATTAAACATTAAATATTTTATCTACACTCGTAAAATTTTCTCAAATTCTAAGGTTACGTAACTGCAGATTATGCAACTGCAACATGCGGAAGCGATATTACGAGGCAAGATATTGTTGCAAAATTCATCAACATTTTTCCTAAAATAAAATAGCTAGTCAAATTCAAAGATGGAAATCCAATTCCGACATACTTAATTTCGGGATTTTATACACATATATTCACTAACGCGTGTGTGTAATATTTCAGTTTCGCGGCTTTTTGAAAATGTAAGGAAATCCCATGAATACACATATATACTTGTACAGAGATAAATGCACGGCATACATACAAGATACACACGAGCGCCATTCTCTGCTTTTCCACGAAATTTTCGCGTGATTTACGACGACCAGCACCCGCATACTCTTTTCCAAAGTAATTTTCGTTCGCAGAATTTATGACAATACCTGTTTCGGGCTCTGTACGGCGGGTTCAAGATACTAAACAAGTTTTTCTCAATAAGCGTATAAAATTTAGAAACTGATAGATTTGTTGAAGAAAAAACGGTAGATTTGTTTCAGTAAAACTAATAAATCAATAAACTCATTTGAGAAATCTTGTTGCTTGAGGTGACGTCATATTTTGAGTTTAATTTTTATTAAATATAATAATTAAATTTTACAACTTGCGAAAATAAATAAAGTATTTTTGTCTCAATTATTAAAGTATAAAATATTTCTTTTTTAGAGATAAAACATTTTTCCTTAAAACTTTCTTTATGTATTATATAAATTACTATGTACTACGCTATGTTAGATTTATATTAGAATTGACTTCAATATTTCTTGATGTTTAATTTAATAGAGTTAGTACAAGCTTACTCGGTCCCTTGAGAAAGTTTTCGAGCCTGCTGATTTTTCGATAATTATTATACATAATGTAATCAGTAAGTGCGAGTCGCTTGAAAAAGGCTATGAAATACTTTAATAAATCAGTTATGAGCTCAACAAGAGATTACGGCAAGCGCGCTGCGATAATATACACCGGCCACGTGTTAACAGTAAAACTAACCGCGTGTTTACAGACTCTTTAGCTATATTTACGCCTGCGTTCACCGTAAACGTGCCTTCCCATAAAGATTTCTAATAATAATTTTCTCTTGTTGTCACACACATACATATATACGCGCACATAAAGAGGAAACGGTGCCATAAATCTCAATTCGATGCTCCTGAAGCAGGAAAATTAAGCTCTTATCTGGCTTTATTAATTTTGAACTTTATTTGTTTATCTTCATTAATTTCGAAGAGATACGATGTAATGAAATTTATAGATAAAGTCATGAAAAACATTTATCTTTCAATTTTTTTCATAAAATTTAAGTTCATAAAAGAGATAGTATGGAAAGATTTTTGGTGCAAGTAAAATTTGATAGAAATAACGTGCGTTGAAATAATAGGTCAACGTACATGTATCATGTAAACTGATTTAGTTATACAGTTCTGGATGGGTTGACAACTTTCCACGCGAAGCGAGATCCATCAGCCATCACCCGCCGCTTTTCGCGCGAGCAAGCTCCGTAAAAACACGCAGAGTTTGACAACTTTCCATGCAAAACAAGGTGCATCACCCATCCTCCTATAATTTGCGTGAGAACCGAAGTACATCACCCATCAAAAAATTAAACACACAAATTTTTCAATACATCATATCCTAAACTCTGAAGATAAATAAATAAAACTTTTTTCATTTAAACTCAATATATATATATATATTAATAAAATAATAATTTCAAATCAACCAACAACCATTTGTTGGTTCGTGGAAAGTAAAATATTTTGAATTTTCTTTTTTAAGATTACAGTAAACGTCTATATTTGCGATCTATATTTTTGTGCCATGAATTTATGTATTAGATCTTATTAAAATTATAAAATGTTAAAATTTTTCATTACATATATTAATATGGATTTAACAATTTTCATATTTGAAAATTTTATTTTTTTTATTATTTCCATAGAACCGAGGACGTTTTATCATTATCATTTAGAGCGCTGTATTTATTCGATATTGAAACGTTACATTCGATAATTATAGAGATTAGTACTCGAGTTTTGGATTGCAATTTGTGAAAACAATGTTTCGTGGTGTATTTATTATTTTCGAAGTTGTCATATATTATTGTTGTAGGAAAATTTTTAGAATTGTTACTGATATCGCTCTTGTTGTGTGATGTCAATTCTAATGTGGAAGCGTCTGTTGCAACGGTGATTAAAGATTAGTATAATTGTCTAGTTAATATGTTTGCAGTATTTGTGATTATCTCGTTGAGAAACTACATTAGTATCTTCTATAACGAATATTGTTGCAGAGTTGTAGCATTTTTTTTATGGCAGCTGTTATGCCCTGTCTCCCGAGAGAGGAACTGGATGAAAATGTCAGTAGAGTTTGTTTGTAAACTATTCTTCTCACTTTTTTTTTTGTATGAAACTGATGAATAACATTCCAGATAAGCTAGAGACTCGAACCGGAACCGGAACCGATAACCGCTACATCCTTTTTTGTTTTAGTCGAATCGAAACCCCGTATCGAATTTCTACTAGGTTTATAACATCATAAATGAACCGATTAAATTATTTCAATCTACGTTTTTTCCGACTATATACACATAAAACGACTTTAATTTAATATGCCCACTAAAAAAAAAGAGGATTATAGCGCGTCTAACGTTATGCGCTTCGTGATTTGAACAACCTAGATGAGATTAAGCTGAAATAGCTCAATTATTCCCAAGAGTAAATACAGACGAGGAAAAAATTATGCAGACTTAATTGAGAGCTCTCAAACGTGCAGTTATATGGTAGTTCGCGTTGGCGCATTATGCAAACGGAGAGCATCAGCACATTTTGTAATTCGCATACAGCTTAATTATATATCGTGCAAAATGATTAAGGTACTCCTTTGGCAGTATTTAGCAATATTTTTTTTTTATTAAGCTTCAAAAACATTACTGTTTTTAATATATCTATTTTACTAAAATAAATTTTCACGATCTTCATCATTATAATTTTAATTAATTATTTTAATCAATTTTTTATAATTATCTTATCATAACATTTATTTTATATTCTTTTATCTCCTATATTGTGTCCATAGATAATCATTGTTATATATTGATTAATGATCTAGTTTCTGGAATATTTTTCGTTATATTTGCACAAAGCCCATGGTTTGGTTTAAAATATGATATTAAAATATAATATTAAAATATGAGAAAGTAAAGACAGCATTATCTCGTTACAATTTTAGATATCGCCAGCGGTTACTTATGCTTCATCGTCAGCATCCTAGGGATCGGTGTTGTGACGGCAGTAATCGGTGATGTCGCCTCGTATTTCGGTTGTACTTTGGGCATCAAGGACTCCGTCACCGCGGTGGTATTCGTCGCCCTTGGCACCAGCATCCCCGGTAAGTATCAAGCAAAACGCGAGCTTCTACAGAACGGATCATACAAAACTGTTACAAGCTGTTGCGTTGCCTCGAAAATTATCGACAAAATTCTTTTCTTCTTTTTTTTTTCTTTAGCAAAGCTTATTGAGAAGCATTTTCAATGGGGGGTTTGTTATGTTATCTAAATATTGTAATTCCGTTAAAATTTTTGATACTCTTTATTATCTATTATTTTAAATAACCGAGTTATTATCTCGTTTTCAAAAAATAATTCTTAAAATAATTTTACAATCTATTATTTTTTAAATAATTATTTTAAATAGTTATCATAATCTTTACTATTTTTTATTATCTGGGAGAGAATTACTTAGAGTTATATTAAAATTATTCTCTCGTATTCTTCTATCTGATGAATAGCCTTCAGTCATGTTTTTTTCTTCGGATAAGAATAAACAGCACTGAACGCTGTCATGTTGGAGAACTTGTAAAACCTAATGAACGTAATTGCTGTCATTCTAAAACGTTATTTATGTCGTAAGAAAGTTGAATGACTTTCGGAAATCCTCGGATTCCTCGCTATACGATTTGCGCAACGAATCTTAATCCTCGTTCTAAAATTATTATAGTACAAGAGTATCCGCGCTACATTGTATGTTTGTTTTGGCGTTTATTCTTGTTACGTATGATATATTCATCGTAAACGCATATACTATATACATATAATCAAATAAACGTGTTGTTTTCACAGCTATGTAATTTTGCAATAATTTACTAAATTTTGTTATTATTACAAAAAACATTATAAGAACACATAATAACACATAATAACACATAATAACACTTAATAACAAATCATTATCTATGTTCACTCTCTCAGAAAATTAATCCTATCTCTAGCATTGTTCACAAAAAATATTGTTTTAGTAAAAAATTATTAATTATTTATTGGTTGTGTTTTTAGAATAGCCCGAGAGGGGGCGTGATAACATATTTAGGGGGAGGGAGAGAAAAAGAGGGAGTAATATTCAAAGACAGAACGGTATTAGAGGTGCGATTAATATGCCTTTCTCCTGTTAGTTTACCTTCCATCTCGCATTGGTCGCATTCCACTTATGGCGTTCGCCATATTGCGACAGGATTTTGGGATTACAGGAGAGCAGCGATAATTTATTGCAGCTGGTCTTTGTAGTCTAGGAACAATGGCCGCCTACGATCCATGTCCTTTCGTATACGGGGTGGAACGTTTGATGCGTGCGACCATAAGTTTGGATTAAACGCCTATATAGCCCAGGAAAGTTACAGAAACGTTGTGGAAATGTTGCATCGCAAGTTTACGATACTGCAAGTACGTCGCTTGATATCGCTGCAAGATCATTGTAAAATTGCAGCGATATTAAAATGTCCGTTCTCGGAAAACTTGCATTGTAATGCAATTTATAAGTGTTGATGCAACGTTTCTGCAAACATGTACACACGATGTTACAGAGATAATCTTATTAACAAACAAACATAGAGATGTTCAAAAAACAAAAAAGAAAAAAAAGATTTGCACCGCCATTTTTAATATGTGCATTTTTTAAATAAAATCAAAAATAAATCCAATAAATAATGTGTGTTTTAATTGTAATTAATTATAATGTAACATTATAAGTGATATTTTATATAAAATAAGATAAAGTCTCGCATATTGAAACGTTTCTGTATTTTTCTAGAGACCCAAGATGTGCCAGGCCGCGAAATAACGAATGACTGATCGAAGGTTAATAAGGTTATTAAGATTATTAGTTTACTTGAATATATGTTCGTATCTTCTTTCAATATTTTCCAGATATATTTTTCAATCTCGTCTAGACTAAAATTATGTTAAATTATATTATTATTAGTGATTGATTGGAATTTTTTAAAATTTGTCCTATTGCTTCTATATACTCTAGCATCTTTACTACTTTTTTCTGAAGGAACTAAATTCAATATATAAAAGGCAAGACATTTTTAACATCTTACAAACTTCTACTATATTGTAATCTTGTTGGAATTTTTCATTTACATTTCTTTACAATGTTTCTGCAACATTGAACTGCAAATGTTGATGCAACTAAAATATTCTATGCCGTGTGATTCCTTCTCTAATAAGTATCTCGAATATTTCAGATTCCAAAGAATTTTATTTGACAATTTAAAAAATTATTCTAAAAAATAAACACTATTAGAGAATACAATTTTTAACATTTTTATTTAATTGTACCAAGACTAATCGTATACTTTATTGCCCGAAAGATATTGAAATGTCCGAATGGAAATCTTTAGAGAAAAATCAATGTTAATTTATATTAAGATTTTCAAGGGTAATATTGTAAACCCCTAACTTTTGTACTTCTCTACTATTTTCGTATAAAGCCCTATTCGAAATACGAAACAAAAGCATTTGATAATTCACTTGAGTGGGCGTTATCAAAAGTTATTAAAAGCTTAACGACAGCCGTAATATTTCAAGTTTCTAGGTCAATAGGTTACGTCCAAAATTTGCATCTAAAACAGCGGCTGCCTTGCGTGAAATTGATTATCCCAAATATGTCTATAAAATATTAATGCGCGGTGAATGCAGCTACTCCAATTTGATACCAAGAATTAATAAAGAGATATCTTCTTAATTCTTGTACAGCTTTAACTATCATTATTTAAAGACGCATCACGATGCTTTTTTCTTGGAAATTTTTGCATTTGCCATAAATAACCGTACGTATATAAAAATAAATATATTCTATTGGCAAGATAACTTTTTCACTATCTTTTCTCTTACTGTCCTTGAAGTATAAAATAAAGCATGATTTTTGTCGGAAACGGTTGAATATATATATATATTTAAAAAATTCAATGAACACTTTCGTGTTGTAGAGAATATTTTATATGGTACAATTTCTTCCACTTTTATTCTCTCTCTTTCGAAATATCTTTCTGTTTTCTCATATCTGCAACCATTCTGAAGTTTCTTAAAGAAATTGACTCCTTCTCTTTTGATCTTGATGCCTGATTTTCAAAATCTATCGCTGTTTCATATACACGATATCAGTATCTTTTTCTCAGTATGTTTTTTTTTGTAGCATTGAAATGATTTCTTGCTTTTCGTAGATCGCATAACGGAATATGCGCTTCAAAATTGTATCTGTCCTGGAGGCTGAGCCATCACGTCCCGAATATCGATGAAATTTGCATGACGTATTGGCTTCCCCTGGCTAGATTACTTAAGTCGCTGTGCTCTCCTTGCTATTCTCTCTCTCTCTCTCTCTCTCTCTCTCTCTCTCTCTAGGTGTTTCTTCTCCTCGTAGGAACTCCGCAAGTAACTTTCTTCTCCCAGAAACTCATCAATATTTATGCTGGGGGGTACCTCCGATCTCCCAAAGTACCGCTCAAGATCGGTTCAACGAGATCCTTCTTTCTGTGCATCGCCGACAAAAAGAAGTACAGAGAATTTTCTGAGAATACCTGTATAGGGTGTCCGAGAATCACACCCAATATTCGATACAATGCATCGCGATAGTTGCTATTAATCCCACAAATTGTTACTACTGTCTCTCTCACAATATTATATAATTAAATTGAAATACGTCAAATCATAAGATGTACAATGGATTTTTTACAGTTACGTGATTGATACTGCGTTAATAGTATCGTAATTTCATAAAGACAAGATGTTTATTCTCTGTACATAACTAAGTCATAGAATTACATAACATCATAATTAATTATATAAATTCATATCCTACATTTCATATCAACTGTTTTCACAAATAAAACCTATTCATTTATTTTTTTTTAATTAATCGATTAATCGTTGCAACAGATTACAAAAATTCAGTTTACGATCGACAATTAATAAACTTTCTAAGCGTGATAATTTTATTCATCAATAACCAAAGCAATCGTTAAAATAATTAATTATTGCTCTGTATTAATGCAAGGCTGACTATCATTCACGGCTGATGAATTATTAGGCATTATTATTGTGCGACGACAGCCAGTAGTAAATATCAACGGCGTAGACCGACGACGTAAGCTCAGCGTAAACAATCGCGCTCGCTAAATCGATTGATTAATTAGCACGCGGAGAGTGCCTGAAATAAGCGCAAAGTAAAAAGGAAAGGAAAAATTACAGAAAGCGCGACAAAGAAAGATCAAATTTTACCGATCGCACATTGGAAATAATGAAAAAAATTTTTGTGTAAATATAAATGCTTATTCCAGAGATATATAAATTAATATAAATTAAACAGGATCTTTTCACAAACTCGTCATTTTATTTCTCCAGACAGAACGTGACTTCGGGGTATCTGTCATATCCTCGCATCTATACCGGAACTTAATTCCAGGAAACCGATTGAATTCGCAAACGCACGCGCGTTGCCCCGCATTATTACGCCACGTTTCGCGAATCTATCTCGTGATAGCGGGATTTTCTTACCCGCCGCTTCACATAACGACGACGCAGAACTCACTTTGGATCGAGCTTGTTCTGCCGTGAACTGCAAACTGGTATCGAATCGCGTGCACGGCGCCAACGCCGAAGCATCGCCGCAAATCGTTCTGCCTCGGTGCAGCCGGCGATCTTTGATTCCCGACGGGATGCGTCCCATAAATCCACTCCGCTGCAATGAAACGCAGTTTTATATCACGAACGCTGCGAATGAAGCGCACGTAATACGCGCGAGTCGCAATAAAAAAGCGACACTGGGTTAAGGTTAACGGCGAACTCTAGTTTATTTTGAAAACTTTTTTCTTAAATTCAGAATGTCAGAAAATATGTTTACGAATAAATTTCGTAACGCTATTTCGGAATTAGCCTGTACATCGAATTTAAAGAATGCGTACCAAATAATTACATAAAGGAAATGTAAAAAAAATATGAGAAATTTATAATAAAAATAATATAAAATAATATAATTTTGTAAAAGTACAATAATTTAAGTATTTCTACGTTCTGATATAAATTCTAAATTCTGAAATAAATGTCCATTGATCGTTCTATTAAAAATAAAAACGAGAGAACGAGCGATGAAAAAATGATAACGGAAAAAAAATATCTCAGAGAATAAATGGTGACCGATATGTATACGTACAATACGAATACATTTTTCAATCGTCGGACATAGATATCTCGGTCGTCGGTCTCACAAAGCGCGTTTGAAACACAATAACGATATATCGAATTGTGCGCTGGTCTTACAACACCGGTCTTTCTTTACTAAAGCTACAACGTCTTATTTCACGTACGTAGATTGATGTTATCAATTAATTAAATTATATTATCCGTAATTAATGCGATTTATATAAATAGGCAAGGCAGTATTATTTAAAACTCAATTATCCTCCACTTTTTCATACCTCGAGTGGATCCCTATATGATTTTAAAAAATTGGTCCTTCAATGAAAAATGTATAACCGCATTTCTATCTAAAATAGAAAAAAATATGGTAAGGTTTTACTTATATTTCGCGAACATGTCGTATATTTTGTACCATAATAAATGCATAACGCTGGAGAAAACGTAAGAATATTCTAACAAGAGTCTCGTTATTCGTTATTTATCGATAGTTCCTATATCGGTGCTCTCGATATATACCCCCTACTCGTTAAAATAACAAAAACTCGGATTTATTCCAGATACGTTCGCGAGTAAAGTGGCAGCTTGCCAGGACAAGTACGCCGACGCGAGCGTGGGCAATGTCACCGGGAGTAACGCGGTGAACGTCTTCCTTGGGATCGGCGTCGCGTGGAGTATCGCCGCCATTTATCGTGCCTGCCACAGCGAGCCGTTCCTCGTCGAACCCGGCAAGTAAGTATAAAGCAATGAAACAATTAATTAATTAGTATCATAAAGGAATGTTCGATTCTCGTTATAAACTCGAGCAACAGTTCGAAGCATGATTCGGTGATTTCCGAAGATGTATCGCCAAATTATTGGAAACTACTTCTTCCTGAAAGACAATTTTTAACGCGACAGATAATAAAGCAATTATTTGAAGCGATGATATTAATTTTGTATCAAATTTCGACGAAATTAAAGTATTTCAGGAGATATATTCCGCGTTAATTAAGACGTGTGTATTTAATTAATCTAGGCAATTTTCGCGTGCAATTTTCGTTTATGTTTCCAGTACGCGATCGATAGAATCTGGATAAGATGATCCAGGATGATGTCGAACAAGACAATATTAGGTCAAGTTAAAGTAAAATGGCGACGTGTCCTCGATAACTAGCCGTCATTTCCCATTTACGATCCTGTTTGTGAAACTATTCTCAAGAAATTTGATCGAGACTTTACAAGGACAACTTGGACGGCGTTGCAATAGATAACGTGTGTGACCGTCATTGCATCGCGCTAAGAAATGATGCATCGATAGAAAAATCAGCTGTTTATATTTTCATATATCTGTTTTAATAGACATTACACGTTACGATGAATTAATTAGAACTGCTTTGGAATTTGTAAATTCGTAAATTCTCCATTAAAATGACTGTATTTGAATTTTCTACATTTCGTGCGCATTATTTCGCCTGGAAAATAACGCTGTGTAGAAAGTCGTCAGTTGTGAATCCCTGCTTCACAATTTTCTACGCTACGGCGCTGATATTCCATTTTACGAGGATTTCGACGGGAGTTGCCGTTCGCGAGATTCAACTTTGTATCGGATAACATTTTCGCGAAAATTGACGACATACACCTTTACATAGATACGCGCGTATGTGAAAAAAATATTTCTCGTATTTTAATATCAATTAAGAATTAAATTATCGGCTCCGCTGTACTAGTCCAAATAATTTCGCAAAAAGTAAATTTTGGCTCGTCTTCCGAAAAAAAAAAATTTAAGCGACAAATTTATATAGATACGTATGTGAAAAAAATATTTCTCGTATTTTAATATCAATTAAGAATTAAATTATCGGCTCCGCTGTACTAGTCCAAATAATTTCGCAAAAAGTAAATTTTGGCTCGTCTTCCGAAAAAAAAAAATTTAAGCGACAAATTTAAGTGTTAAGTTGTCGGTTCGCGGTACATAGTTATCGAACTTGGAAATGCTCATCCGTCGATCGACCTTAAACGAGAGTCAAGTTTCGACGTTGCCGATCCGGAATTGGGAATGAATCTGCCATCGCGGTTAGAAAGTTTTCCCATTTATCTTCGGAACGAGAAATCTCGGTGAAATCTAGAGTTCGAAGTCTCAAGAAAATAGAAAGATGTCCTCTAGTAAATTTTTATACTTATCTAATAAATATACTAGTTTGACGCAACGAACATAAATAAGATCTTGATCGAAGGTCTCGATTAAATCGCATTAATTTTTATGACTTTCAGGAATTTCAAATAATATTGTTTCAAGAAAGAAAGAGAGAGAGATAATTTTAAATAGTTATCGTAAAATTCAATATTTTGCAGTTGGATCTCTTTCGCATCTCTGCGCTCTAAAATTCCAAATACATAGCGATGGTTTTTCAATAACTACATCCACGTGACATATTTTATGACGCAGCTTGGCCTTCTCTGTCACCATATTCTGCAGCGAGGCTTGCCTGGTGATCGCGGTGCTGTTGGTAAGGCGAACGAAGTCGATCGGCGGCGAATTGGGTGGACCTTTTATACCGAAAGTTGTCACATCCGCGTTCCTGTTCTCTCTCTGGCTGCTCTACCTCATCATGTCCACCCTCGAGGCCTACGGCGTAATCCAGGGCTTCTAAACTAAAAAAAAGGCCCGTGCGACGCCATTACGTCGGCCTATCCACTGCGTATATATCTTAGCTCTGGCGTCCGCCAAGGCGTGTGCTCAACGAAACTTCTATCCGGTAAGTCTGTCAAGGCTGTCAAGTCAAGGCTGTCAAGTCTGTCTGGCTTTGACATTTTCGCGCGTTTCAATTGCCGTGCGACTCGAGATCATACTGCGTCTATTTCTGAAAAAGCGAAAAACCCACGCTACCAAGAGGCCGTTAAAATGTCAAAGATGTTGTTTCAAGCTGCAGCAAAGCTGTTGAATTCAACTGCTATGAATTAATATGACCAAATATTCGGAAACTAATCGAGAGATGTCTCAAGCCAAGATTAAATATAGCGAATGATAGCCATCGTGCAGACAGTCTTTTGCGTTTCACATGACTTACGTTCGAATTACCTCGCGAATGTTTCGCAAATTAATAAAGAGTTTCTTTTTTACTCTACATACATCGTTGTTTTTCGAAATGCTCTTAAAGAGTTTTATTCGGAATGCATAATACGAAAAAGTAATTTATGCTGCAAATATTTCCTTTACACATCCTCCTCACCTAACACAATTATTGTATTAATTTCCATTTAATTAATCTTATCTCATTTTAAACTAATTTTTTACATTGTATTAATTTCCATTTGATTATTCTTATCTCATTTTAACCCAATTTTTTACATTTTTCTTAGCACCGTGACGCGATTCTTTCTAATTCCTTCTCATATCCACGCAAGTTTCTTTAAACGATCCCCGATTTTGATTGCAGGATACAGAAGCGGAATCGGAATGGCACGATTCCGCGAAGAACAAATTCTGAACTGTGCCGGGAACTCACATAAGTTCACCCCTGACCTGAGACAATTAACAACGAACATGATCGCGTGACGTATTAAATGCGTGAATACGTGTATGTGTGTGCGTATGCGTGTGTAGATATCTGAAAGCGCAAGTGTGCGTGCTTGCGTGAATCCGTCTAATGAAAAGAAGAAAGAGAATCGATCGAGGAGAGAACGAACGAAGGAAGAAAAAGTAAGGTGGCGAAAAGTGCGTGAGAAAAAGTGAGTTTGCCTTAAAATTATGCAAAAAAAAAAAAAAAAAAAAAAAAAAAAAAAAAATAAGTGCGTTCTAGTCATGCCATATTCCCCGCGAGGAGAATTTGGTTGCAATCAAAAAGGAAAAGAGAAGAAGTGACGATAATATAAGAAAATATACCTATGTGTATGCGGATAAAAAAGAACATCTCGTGAGTACGTACGCGTATTTATTTAATCCTCTAAGAAGAGGATTTCGCGAGTACAGTTTCTATGGTATTTTAGTAGCGGACTGTATTGTGCAATTCCTTTTTCGCCAGAGAACGCGACGTCGCTAATTTTATATACACGTATATATTATTGTACGATATATTCCTTTTATGTGTTGAGGGAGTCTCTCTCTTTGATGTCGGATCGATTTACGTAAGAAGATTTCAAAGAAATGCGAAAGCACCTGAGAAAAAAATGAGCAGCTATTGAACGTAGTTGTGCAATACAGGACCAGCTTTGAAAATCAAATTTTTAATCTCTCTCTTTCATTTCATATAACATTTTAAAAATTATTTTCTATTCTAATATTACAGTTCTGACAATGATCGTTGAATTATTGTATTTTCCATTGAAAATATCTTTTTTCCTCGACGTAATTCTTTCGGTAAAATGTATATTGTTTGCGACGAAACGTCAAAGTAAAACTTGCAATCTTTGAGATTCGAGAGGTGGCGATTGGTCCGACATTGCACGACCGCGTCGGATTTGTGGTAGAATTCGAAAACATAGTGCATTTTATCGTTGCAATAATTGCATAGCCAGAAAATGTGTGTATGTGTGCGTGTCTGTACCACACGCGTACGGATCTAGTCGGATTTGCCATTTTAGTGAGATTTGCCAATGGTCAAAGTTGCCATTGGGAAAGTCATCCTTTCATCTCGGATCTAGAACAGCCGATGTCATTGCCATCTGTCATGTGTGAAATGAATAAATAAATAACTTTTTGACAAACGACCGCAAGTAAATTGCGCGATTTATTTTACGTGTAAAAGATCGGATAAGCTTCTAAAAAATGGGGCAAAAAAATAATTAAAATTTAAAAAAAAAATTTTTTTTTTTATTGTAAATGCCATATATAACGATTTAAATTTCAAAGTGAGACACATGGCGTAGTAGAATTTAGATCTCAGGCAACCCGGTTGACGATTTATAAATCCCTCTCAGCGCGTTTGCGATGAAAAATTATACTTTCCCGTTATTCAGATTAGATTTTTACACAGGAACGTCGTAGACTAGGTTTTCGTTAATACGAGTCAATGTTAATGACTCGTCTGTCCAAATCATATCTTTCAAACCTTATATAGACGAATAATTTATAGAGAGCGTTCATAAATGAGTAATAATTACTTGAATTTATGGATGGTTTCATTACAATCGTAATGAAACATTGATCAAACAATTCTCTTTGTCACTTGTCATCGACTCTTGAAAATTACAACATTGATTACAATTATGTATAATTATAATATGCTTCATTGAGGTTGAAACTAGCAATTAGAGCAGCTATATTATTTCCATAACAATTCAACACGTATATACAAGTGTAAGATTCCGCAAGAATTCATAAAATTATTGCACGATATTATTGACAAAATATAAAAAATACAATTTTGAAAACAGATTTCGCTCTCATACCTTAAAAATTTAGATAAATCTTAAAAGACATAATAAAAAAAAAAAAAAATCTGGAAAAAACGCAAAGCTTGTGTATAACACACACATTTTCTAATCTTTCAAATATTTTTTGGATGGATATCTTCGGATATCTGTCAGCTATTGCTATTTTTATTATTTTCTTATGAACGTCATTAAAGAGGGATTTCGAAATTGTCGTTAATCAAGAAAACAACGTGAATCGTTAACAAACATAATAACTATCTTGCCAGCAAGATCACGTTATTAAATACCAGCAGAAACATATTTACAATTGTTAAGGATAGCTAGGTATCGCGACAAACGTTAATTAGACTTGTCCCTCCCCTCTTCTCCCGCGAGTTGCATCGCGGCCTTCGTTCGAATGTATAAATCGCACTCGTTTTTTTTCAAAATTACAACGTAGAGAATTACATTTTTTTTCCGCGATCAATGTGTAATCTAATATGTGTGGAATCAAATGTTTTGAATTTTTATTTTATGCGATTACATTCTTGTAATTCGATCGCGACATTCTTGTACGTCAAAAGTTCAAAAACATCGACGTTATGATGAAAAAAATACGATTCTTTACGATGTCAATTTTGAGAAGAAGAGGCGTATAAAATGTTCTCGTTGGTCTTCACTGCCTTTGATCGAGGGTCGCGTCATACGCGGGGCGAACAGTTATTCAACAGTTATTCGAATTAGGCGCACTATGACCCAATGACACCCAATTTAGGATGTTAAAACGATTCCCGATATGATACCGCTTCGAAATCGCATCTGCATACAAAATCTGGATTCAGAGTGTATGTCAGTGCGTCTCCCCCTTCCCCCTAACCCCATTTGCGCGACCAGTATTGAATTTTAAGTTTGCAATTGTTACAGGAATCTCGTACGATTTTAGGGAGATTTTTAGAGTACGTCTGAATAGGCGGCTGTTTTTAGAGAGCGCGACATGTTCTATGGACAGAAGCAAGGAAATACCTCATATGAACATGATGCGAATATTATTGCTAGCATTTTGTAATCGGCTTTTGTAACACGCACCGTGAAGGAAGAAATTGTTTCTCACACACACATTCTCTCTCTCCCCCTCCCCTGTCAACAATTAATCTCAGATTTAATCTCTGTCGTGTGGTCTTAAGACGAGGTGCTCTCTCTTACAGGATGTCGCTTTAAAATTGTTGCATCTAAACGAGCTGCACGTATGTGGGTAAGCTCGTTACATGTTTGTTTCTCTGAGTATCAATCTAATACATCTGAAGTGACAAATACGACATAATTAGTGGCTGCTGCACAGTATTACGAAAGCGTGGTGATGAATTATCGGTCGATAGCGCTAATGATTAGCGTTAATTCTGATTCTCAAGCTATTGCTTTATCTGCGGTATATAGATAAAAACACGATTTAAAAAAAAAAACAGCGAATCGTTGTTACTTTGGTAATTACTTCATGGTGTAATTCTGCTCGCAATGGAACTCTCTCGTTCTCTTTTACCTTCTATTTCCCTCTCTCTCTTTTTTATAGTCGTATTGGATTATGATGCCAAATATAAACGATTATGCAGCAGTTTCTCTTGCAGTTTGAAAATCATTTCCCATAAATTAATACGAAAATAAACGCGAATCATCTCGATTTATAAATCGCTTTTATTTTATAAAATTTAAACTACGTTTCATTGATTGAAACACTTGTTTGATTTACTTAATTTCAATTAATCCTGTGAATTAACTTTTACTGTCAATTTTACATTTTACAAGTTTTATCAAACGTTAACGATAAAATGGGGAAAATAACTTGCTTATTTCCAGACGTAATTCAATCATACAACAATAATTCATATAATTTTTCAAATTTGATATCATAATCCAACATGACTGCGAAACATAGTATCTAGTCAAATCGTCAAATCGATGTAGTTGATCTGTTCAAAAATCGATATCGTGCTTTCAGGAAAAAAAATTTTAATTGGTTTGAATCTGGTATATTCATATATTCCGTTTTTCGTTTCAAAATACAAAATTACCTTTCCGTCCTAAGAAAAAATTGCTTCCATTCAATCTGATATATTAACTAATGTGGCTGCTTGACGTACATATCACACAACATTAAATTAATATTTATTAAATAATCCTAATAAGATATGGTATATTAAATTCAAAGAAAATGTAAATGAAAAACTTTCAATAGATATCTCAATTAATTACGTTACTTATATTTTCGCTCAATATATTTTGTGTAATAATATGTTAAATTGTTAAATAATATATTAATTTATTTTTTATTACAGTATACAATAATTTATACGTATTTATTATGCAAAATATAAAGTTTCTTGTAATAAGAGAGTGTAAGAAATTATTATTATATAGTATACCAGATTTTCAAGTTAGTAAATAAACCAAAAATATATACATGTTTATCATAAGCAAAAATATTTCATATGGATACAAATACGTACTTAAAAATATTTAAATTAAAAAGAATTATCAAAATATAATAATATAAATTATTTACAATTAATTATTTTTATAAGCAAAATTATGTGTTGTAAGATTTATTATAATTATACACAATTAATATTTTTTCTATTATTCTTACCCTTATTATAAAAATATTTAGAATCTGAATTTGATATTGAAATAAACAACTGGCCGCAATATTATCATAATTAAATATTGTAAAAACCATTTTTTTATTCATTTTAATTCTCAATTATTGCAGTGTTAAAACTAATTTAATCTTGCAGTTTTTTTAATTTTACGTCAATTATACGTGATTATATATAAAATAAAATAATAAAAGTAACAAATTTAAATCTGCTGACCATTAATATAAAAGACATTTAATAGTTTTTAGTAGTTTGATTTTAAAGTATCTGACGCCACCATAATAGTCTCTAGCATATTTGATTAAAAACTTTTGAAGAATTCCGCCTTGGATCAATATATTGTCAACTTTTTTCAGTTTAATAAATCTTTTGAAATTATCGTTTCTTTCTTTTTTATTTATATTCCTTTTGTGATTTTCCCTTTGTTCCTACTGATGTTGCAATTAAATTTATGTTAATCAATCAACTTGCATACAATCAATATGCGTTATTAATTTAAAATATTATAAATACAGGGAAAACATCATTTTCGTAAATTAAATTAAATCTATCGATTTTAAATTTTGCTTAAAATATGAAATTTTATCTGAAATAAATTTTGCGAGATATGTCGACTTGAATCGTTATCGCTCTTTAACTCATTAAAAATTATTTCGTTTTTCTCATATTTGAATTTTTCAATTCCAGCTTTTCTTTCTTGCCATAAATTAAGAAAGAACACAAAGTAATTTTCTAAGTTTTTAATTTTTATCTCTCTCTTTATTCATAATCCGAATATATTTATTTTATTTTATTTTAAACGTGAAGAGTATATATTTATATGCCAAAAAGATATGGCTAAACAGAAAATATCCGAGAGAGAGAGAGAGAGAGAGAAAGGTAAATTAAATGTACGAGGAGGAAAGAGAGATGATACGTTTAATTTAATAGCAAAGAAATGTAATGGGAACTTATAACGGCAAAGAAAGTTTCTGCTATTAGTCTACAAATTAAATTAAACGCAATGATTTCAATCATAAGATTGTTCCAGTACGTTTAATTTACTGTTTACTAAAAACAGAACTTTAACCGTATCTTTATCAAGCTATTAAGCTCAAAATAAATGTCGAAAGATGTTTCCAACCGCAGCCACGCAGAGAAAAAAACAAACAAACGCTTGTAAAAAGAAAAAATGAGAACAACAGGCGAATAAATATTTTATTAATCCGAATTTCGCGATAGTTGTGTATTATGTAAGTATGTATGTGCGCGTACAGTAAGGCGTACACAGAGAAAGACACTCAATAGCAAAGCGTTCAAGTGATAATACAGTAAATGGGATCCGAGAGCGTCTCCCGAACCTTCGTCGCTCGACTGCTCGACCGATTGGACTGCTGTTTACGCGTGATAGTTTTAGCGAAGACAGTTATATACGAGTAAATTCGCCAAGATACGAAATGTGCTCCAGGTGGCTGAGACAATGTTCCGAACAACGTCACGTACAACAACGGCACACACATCCGTCGTTTCGATCTCTTTGTTCTCCAGAGAATTCCGCAATAATAAACTCGCATGACGTAGAGAAATGAATAATCTACTCTCGTTTTATTAATTTTACATCACACACGTCGGACGTGTTTATTGCCGTGACACAAGTATCAAAATAAAAAAAATAAATAAATAAAAAAAGCGAAAATCATAACACAAATTTATTTTTTGAAAAATAATTTTCCACGTGTCGTTCGAACTTGACAATTGGCGCACCTGGTTGCACGCGAGGCGCCGTGCTGGGAATCAGAGACGACAGCGAATGAAAATAATTAATCGAACGTAATCAAAAGTGCTACACGTACCTCAGCGCTCGTTTGCATTGCAGCGTCGTCGACGAGGATTCAACAATGACGTACGATCTCTATATTTCTGTCTATCCCTCTATCTCTTTCTACTTCACCTTTTTCTATCTATCTATTTATCTATCTACCTGATTTTCGCTCCTCATGTCTACTCCTGCCCTCTCTCTTTCTCTCTCTCTATTTTCAAATACCCGATTAAAGAGTTTAGAAGAAGAATGCAAAATTTATTATTTGCAAAGTATGTATTCGATACTTAAAAATTAAAAAAGTTTAAATAAAAAATAGAATTCTAAACTCTTAAATATGATGAAATCACACAACTTAAAGTAGATCTTACGAAATATGGACTTAAAAATCTGTCCTATTCTTGCACAATTCTTTCGATTCCCTTTAACCTAACATTAAACAATTGTAGAATAAAATGAAGCACGATTAATAATAAAATTTTACATGCTAATCGGAAAATCATTGCAAAGATGAATTTTTTCGAGATTTAGAACGCATTGTCAGACACAGGTTCAGACAAATTGCGTGATCAAACTGTTCGAATAGTTTGAAATAGAAATTAAAGATTCTGAAGTCCGAACAGTTCGTAGAGTTCAAACGAAATTGATACATCGCACTGTTTGATCAGGTCACGATACTCGAAAGTTCGATTATTCAAACAATTTAGGCACAAAAGAAGATTCGAATGCGAAAAAATAGTATTCCTCGGAAAAAAATAATAATCAACTGTAGAATATGTTCCTTTCTCTCACGATATTCCGCGCGCCTAACTTTACTTTATTACATATTTTATCTAAATTAAAATACAAACACGAAAAATGTGTTCAAATATATTCTGAGGCCTGAAAAATCCAAACAATTTAAGTTATTATTATATAATTGAGCTTAACTTTTCAATAAAGAATTTTTAATATCATATCGATAGAATTCGCGCGCAAATCTTTCAAAATCAATTAATTTTGCAACGAATTGTAAAGGAATGTGAAATACGACTGGATTGATAAAATTTATTTTTATCAGAAAATTATCGCAAATGTCAAATTTTTTTTATTGATAATCGTGTTGTTCTCGTTTTTACTTTCAAATACTAAAATGTAATTTATATTTTCCACCAAAACGCGAAGACATACCTCATAGTTGTCTATATTGTTTCATACGTATGATTGTATATTCTTTTATTTTATTTATTTCTACTGTAATTAATACATTTTACATATGTGCCTATTCCCGTCTTTCTTTTTAGGCAATGTCTTTTGATATCTTTTGTATTTTAAAAGCCCATTTCTATCAATTTCATACAGAATAGCATTAATCTATATCTTGTCTCTCATGATCTCTTAATTTTCGATTTTCATGAAAGATTTGACGAATCAATTTCGATTTTAAAAACTATGATTCTTTCAATATCTGCATATGTACCCGCGTTATAAAAATTCGTTGAAGAATATCGTTAACAGTTTGATAAACATTGTTAAGTTGGATATCGGCACGATTGAAATCCGTCAAGAGCGCATCCACGCGTTCGAGAATCTCTTTTTTTTTCTCTTTGTAAATTTCCGATTCGGGCCGACTGATAACAGGCCAACCGTTTATTGCGCTTCGTCACAATAAAACGGACGTAGGTTTGGTTAGGCGAACCGAATTTTGCGTATCGAAACGTGACACGCTTAAAAAATCGCTGTTCCGTGAAAAGAATTCACGAACATCACGCATTCGATATTCCGCACGAGAATTTCCGGGGGAGAATCCCGCGGGAATAATTCCATAGCTCGTCGCTCTCGAACAATGCTGATTGAGATCGAGTAGATCCCTTCGTCATACGGAGTGTTAACGAAAAATGAATATATACAGAGAATGTTATATTTTTTCGAAAGATAATACTTAACTTCAAAAAAAGATTATTTGAATTTTTCGTCCTATCAACCTAAAATTTTATTAATTGGAAAGTCATATATATA